TTTTAAGTCAAATTTGACACTGCGTGTGTGTCTGTTGGAAGTGTCCTAAGTGGATTATTGTTGGCTGTTCTGTGTTTACAGCACAGAGCCATCCTCCCACTAAACCCACTCCTCTGATTAGGAAGATCAGACTGCCTGAGCAGGAGTCGCCCTTCGTTCAGGATCCACTCCTCTGCTGCTTTTTGACATTTTCCACCTTCGCCAATCCCCCTCCCCACAGCGGGAGGCTCTGCTCCAGATTCACTCCCACAGCTTCCGGGTGGAAAGTCTCCGCAATAAGCCCGGAGCCGGTGAGATGGATCAGAAAGTCAGAAGAAAGAGGAGGCTCAAACACACCGTTAGAATAGCTTTTTAGAATAACATTCCTGGAAATGACAAGCCTACAAAACAGCTGGCCGAGTCGGACGCTGGCGTGCAGCCGAGGGGCAGCGCAGGACACCACATGGAAAGGCTCTCAAAGATTAAATGGGACTTTATGGGGACTTTGAAGAGCACTTCTCTTCAAATGGTTCCTGTGAAAGCATGACTTGTATTTCCTCCTGTTGTTCGGCATTTAAAAAGTAAGGTCGGGCCATCATGACTTCCAAGTAACCGCGACAGGAATGAGTGATTGGTTGATAACTCCTCTGAGACGGGGCCCATGTGGCTGTCCCAGTGCGAGCTCAGGGGGCCTCCGGGGGTTGGAGGGGGTTGCTGCCTGTGTTGTGTGTCTGCGATCAGCTGGTCAGGCCTCAGGTCTTCATGCAGCTGGACAGAGAGGGCCGGTGAATCCCGGCTGTGTGCGGGGCGGCGCTGAGCCAGCTGGAGCCGCCGCTCTCTGCTACTGAGCGGTCAGAAGAGACGTCATATTGTGTCCAGACTGTACTGTACTGCGGGTACCTGGCAAAAAAAGAGACGGAAATCAGAGAAGCGAGACATGACGTCGGTTTCTTTATGGCTTACGCTAGTCTTCCTTTGTAAAGCAACTTTTGTGTTGAAAGTATAATCAAAACTTTGTTGTTGTTTTTTCCTGCTTGTTTGTTTATCTTCTCATCTCATAGCTTGTATGGTTCACATATTGGGGGTGGCAGAACTTAATTCACTACTTTTTCTTTTTATATTTTTCTTTCCGCAAGACAGGACCAGAATGATTTGAACAAGCATTCCTACAATCTCCCAGACGGGGAAGCTGGGAGGTCAGAGAGTGAAGTATTGAAATGAGAAAAACTAACCGCCGGACTAATCAATTGTGATGATTAGATAATCATTGCTCCACTTGCCGAAAGAAGAAAAAAAGCCGGGCATATCGTCTGCCGTTCAGCCTGCCAACAAAGAAATGTGTCCTCAGCGACAGTTGATAGATGAAGGCCGTGCCAAAGCAAACCACAAGGGACTGGAGGACAAAAGGGGCTTTTTCTCCCAAAGAATAAACCTTCCCCATGATGATGGAGTCATTGAGACTTCTAGCTTTTGATAGGAAGTGGGTCAATTTTCATTGTGCTTGTTTAGTTTTTCCTGTTTCCTGCAGGGTAGTGTTCCTTCTCTTTCTGTGTTTTCTATTTTTCTTTTTTTCTCCCCCCTTTCATACATTCCTCCAGCTCCATTTGATATTGGTGTAATACATTTGCTCAGAATACTGTCATTTCCTACTTTGTCGAAGCACGAAAACGCGTGTCTGTGACTGCGGTCAGGTGGTTGTTTCTTTAATAGTTAACCATAAACACCGCCTTCGGTAATGTTTAATGTATTCCATAAAAATTGTATTTCATCAGTCCTTCCACAGAGTAGACTACCTGCTCATCTGTAGCAGCCTCCTTCCACAGTCCAGGCCCCTCATTCAGCATCTGCGTGCTGGGCCTGATCCGATGTTATCTCCCACGCCAAACTCTTAAAAAAAAAATGCTGGGGGGGGCAAAAACCCAACAAAAAGCGAATTTGCAAGTCCCACTTTCCAGAGCTTGTAAAAACCACACCTTCCGACGCATAAAACTCAGTGACCCGCAGCGCCGTGCTATTTTAGAGCCCAGGAATTCTAACTGTATCCAGTTAAACTCGCCGGGAAGGGATCATATTGCCAGCCCCCGGGGGGGGCTTTAATACAGAGGTAATTGTCCGCGCAGAGGCCAGGTGGAAGTAATAAGTCCTACATTTGCTAACGTCTGAGCAGGGTGCCGTTGTGTCCAGCCTTTCAGACGGTTGTGGACGGGTCGTCCGTTGGTTCCGTTTGCACGGAGCGTGCTGGGTGGATTCCGTAACCCCCGCTGCCGGTGAAAACAGCAGCTTTGAATAAAGTAGACTAAAGGCTGATATTTTCAAGTAGGTATTTAGGGCAGATCAGGCCAGGAATGCGGAGCTTATTAGAGTGTGACAGCTTGTCTTGGTCAGCTAGAGATTTCGGGCCCCGATGTGAGCACTGCCCGGCAACACGCGGCCACAGCTTTCTATCCCCCTGCCCGCATGCCGGGGCCGCCGACACACACACACACACACACACACACACACACACACACACATGCAGGAGGTGATGCTGCGTCTCCGACTCCAGGCGTTCTGCTCCTCCGGCATCCACAGCCACTTCCACCTTTTCAAATTGGGCTTCCTTAGGCCGCGTTTGATCAGAAAAACAATAGAAACGGTGGCTTTTCTGTCCCCTCAGAGGCTCGACGTCAGGTGGAAAGTCACAGATGTGTGTGTGTGTGTGCGGTGTCTGCGGGGCCTCTGTTATTTGTTTTGGGTTTTTGGTTTATCCAGGCGGAGCACGGCGTGTTGCTGTGCGTTTAGCAGCACAGGCCGTCCCCCAGCCCTGCCTCTGGACACATGTGGACTACCGCCATTATTACGAGATTATTCAATTACCCCAAGGTTTGGAGCTCATGGGTTACACAACAAAAAAAACGAGAACTTCTTTTTTTTCTGTCACATAATTTCGCCACTACATCTTTTATGATTGTAACAATATTACGTTGACTTAAACTTAACCTAATTGCTATCAGGCAGACAGATTATTATCTTTAAAACCAAAATATCTTTGTTTTTGGTTCAATTAAGCGACTCCAGGAGCCCATTTTCTTTTGATAACACAAAAACAGTCGAACTATAACAGTTAGGTTGTCACCTGACTAGTGTAATGTTTGATGAGAGCCATCCTGAGCAGAGAAAAAGTTTTTGGAACTGTTCTAATCCTACAGATTAGGCGACTTTAATGCGAGTGTGCACAGTGCACGCTTGCTGTTTTTTGGGTTTATGGAGTTATTGTTTTGTTTTTAAGTTAATTTCAATGTTTCAATTTGGGCCCGTCTGATTCCTTTCTAAGAACTGTAATATACTTATTAAAATAACTTTTATTGAGTTTTTATGTTAAAATATTACCCCTCAAAATATATTTTTCTGACCTGTACCAGGTCACTGGACCTTCTGAAAGTATTAAATGAGTAAAGATTGGTGCAGTTCCAGCAAACCTCTGGTAAACCAGCACATCCTCAGATTCTGAGTAAGCTGGACTTCCGTTTTTGCTCGAAAACGTAGCTGAGGGGTTCACTTTGCCACACCGTCCAGGCTCACTTTTGCTTTTATGAAATTAAAAAACCGCCGGAACATTTCTCTTCTGAACAAGAGCAGATGCATGACAGTTTTTTTTTTTTTTCTTTTAAAGTTAGAGTGCCAGAGGTCCTCCAGCCCATCGTGATCCACATCAGCATATTTTTCAGGGTTAGCCGAACGCTCTTTTTTTTTTTCTTTTCTTTTTTTTCCCTCAGAGGCCTGGTGGTCCAGTCTCATGGCTCAAGGTCATGCTGGGACACATAATCACCTATAAAATGGACAAAAAAAAAAAAACTGTCAGAAAGAATCTAACACCCTCCTTCCACCCTTTACTCCCCCCCTTTAGACCAGCCTAATATTGTCCTCCATCTTTCTCATTGGTTGGTTTTTATGAATCCATTTTTTTTTTGCTGGAAAATATGACCTAGCCTGAGACCCTCCTCTTTGATATTATGTAAACATTTGGTCTGGAAATTCTTGGGGTTCCTCAGGCTTTCTTCTGCCCTTATAGTTTAATGAAGCAGAAGTGAGCGTACCGTTTGTCTGAATCCGGCCGTTAAATGTCACACTTAAACGCAATATGCTCTTTTTTTTTTTCCTCCCTCTTTCTCTGCAAAGTGCCGTTAACCATCAGGAACCGCGGGCCATCACCAGGTTTGACGAATTTGTGCCCACAGTGGCAAACACTTTGCAGGGCTGCTGGCTTAAATGGGGAAAAAACAATATTGGAGATAACAAGGGTTCCTGTGTGACACTAACATCCCATTAGGGCTCCGACAGCTCCGATGAGTCACTTTACCCTCTCACCTGTTTAAGGAATGGAATGTAAGGATGTTAAAAGTACCATGTTAATCACCATAATTCAAGTTGTCGGCATCCTATTCACGGTCACTTCAACCGTTGGCTGATCGTGACGCTTGCAGCTTTTATTAGGATGCGAAGAATAAAAACCACAGTAATGAATCAGTATTTCAGTCAAATCTGAGTTCTGTAGAAGATAGTTGGTCTTATGACTATGACTTTTTTTTATTATCTTGGAGTGGAGGCTGGGAGGTCCCCACCACCACCATCACCCCCCTCCCCTTCTCCGTCCTCCCTCCTGCCTTGGCTAGTCTCCATGCGCTGGGCTCAGGGCCTTGGGAATGAATGGCGCCCCAGCTCTGCTCCGTCTTTGAAGCCAGCCAGGAATGCGAGGCCTCTTTTTCTTTTTTCTTTTTTTTCTCTCTTTCTTCCTTTCTCTGTTGTTCGGGCAGCCGGCAGCAGTAGCAGCTATCTGCAGCAGTGAAATATTCCCTCCGCTGCGCTCATTGTGCACCGGAGAGCCGGACGTCATCGGCTGGCCAATCAGTGGCTCCCACTAGGCTGCCCCGGGTCTCAGTGGGGGGAGAAGGGACCCAGCAGAAGTATTACCTCTAATAACTGGCTCTCCTGGTTACTTGGTCGGCTCACTCTTTAGAGGAGGAACAAAGTCCTGAATAAGAGACAAGAATGGAAATGATTAAGCCAATCCATATTTAAGATTTAAAACTTAGGAGATGCATCTCCTTTTCCGCTGGGAATCAGGAAAGTCAGTGACTTAGACTCAAAGTTTGGGTGAGTTGTCTCTTTGTTATTTTTTATTGTTTTTTTTTCCTCCAGCCGCTACTCTAAAACTTTTGAAGCAGTCTTCAAGTAGCCGGCTGTAAGCAGTGAACTTTTCCTCTGTTAGTGGAGTGACCAGTGGTCCAGCCCTGTCCTCCATTTCTCTGCTGTCCTTGTTAACTCCCCTTGTTGTTGTGGTTTGCGTGTGAGAGTATTTGTCTGGCCTGCTCACCCTCTGCCTAACCCTCCCTCCCAGCCTTGCTCCTCTCTGTACATTTTGTCACTGCCTGTCCCCTCCATCACTTCCACTTGAGCGCTCCCCCGTTCGGGAGCCTCTTTCTGTTCTCATAGGAAAAAGGAGGGCTGAAAACGACACACACACAGGCACAAAGAAGTACACTGCAGATCAGAAACCCCCTTCATAAATACACAGAACCCCCCCCCCCCGTAATACTGTAGCTTGAAAAGGCTCTCTGGACGTGGATATGCAAAAAGACCACCTAAGATCATCCACGATGCGGGTTTCTCTCCGACAAACCTCGAAACACTGGGCTAAATTTCCATCATCGTAATTAATCGGAGGGGATTTTCAGTTGTCAGCGTCCGTTTGGATGCAGCTGGAATAGCAACAGGTCGCCCCGGTTAAAGGGAGAAAGGAGATCCACAGATTCATGATGTGAGCCGGACTTCTTACCGTTCCCATCACTCCTCTTATTCACTGTTTATTCACCGCTCGGCTTGTCTTTGTTTGAGCAGCAACATTTACCTTTTTTAACGTGCGTGACCAGTGTGTGGCCTGATCAGAAAGTCAGGGGGAAAGCGTGCGGGTCATGGGAGAGCGCTGCCATTAGAGCCTTAAAGCTGTCATTACCCCGTTAGAGCTGGTTTTAGCACCGACAAATGGTTTCTGAGCTTTTCGGAGAGCTGATCATGACAGAAGGTAATCGCTTTCATTTCACTTCTCCGGGTTGTCAGATTCCGTTTTTTAATGTTTTGTCAGTGAGAAAAGTGAAACATGTCACAGACAATGAAAACACAATTGCCGCTAATTGGTTTCTCATCAGAAGAACAGTTTAGTGAAGAGCCTTTTAGGATAATTTCGAGAGAACTGACCCAGTGCACCTGTATTCGTTCATTTGTAGAAGAATAGAAGAATAGAACACATCCCCACCTCAACATTTGTCACTTGCACTTTGCAATTGTTGTATAGGTATAGTTAAGGATGCACATTTTTCCAAAGTCTGCAAAGAAAGGAGCATTTGGCAAAGGTTTAACTGGGATTTCATTGATGTTCCTCGCTAAGTAAAACAGGTGTGGTCGGAAATCTTTTCACAAAATTTATTTTAAGCTGTTTTTTTATGGAACCGTCATTATGTCTTCTCCTGAAATAGAGTGAACAGCAATCTTATTATGAATGACTGTGGTGAAATTAAGATGTCAAATTGATAAAGCCTGAAAGATCTCAAATACTTGTCTGACAAGGCCTGGAACGCCAGACCGGCTGCATTACATGGCCTTACATTTGTCATATGACTAATCCTCACATATTTCATCTGGAATTCCAGGATTCTTTTTTTCTTTTCCGTGCTGCGGCACCCACCATCCACCTCTGGCCCCTCAGTCGAAGGCCTTGCTTCTGCAAAGCGGCGCGCAGCCTCTTTCAGCAGGTGGTTAACAGCGCTGACCTACAAAACAAAGCTGCCCTAAACCCACGTGAGCGGTGACACAGCACAGGAAAAGAGGCACAAAGCCCAGTGTCTGGCTCCAGACTTTGAATCTCCTCATTTCTTACTACCAAATGAGACTCTGGACACCATGATATACTGTATACTAGCTTGAAATGGTCCTGGAACTAAAACATTATGTCAATATCAGGGAATTCGACCTGCGGCCAACAAACCTGATTCATTTTACAATTTATTTTCCCAGCAACTTAGCATAGGCATGTGCATAGGCATTTCAAACTTCCTGCTTAAAGCCTTCAGCTGGAAAAAGGAAAAGCTTTCTTTCCAGCATATAGCACACACATTAGTCAGCGAGGGAATTTGACTTCAGACTCTTCAGACATTAGATTATACATATTTAGTGTTTCATTAGAAGGCAGTTGGTTAGTCATTTTTCCCTTGAGAGGATTTGTAGCTGTAAACGTTTATCTCATACAGACAATATAAATGATGTATGAAGGTGTTTTCCTTTCTGTGAGTGCTGAGAAGCTACAGGCCACCCAGGGCTCGCAGTCAACCACAAACATTTGTGTTTGTGTTCGACTTTCAGTCCGGCATGTCTTCTCTTTTTTCCAGTCGCAGTATAAACATGCATTATATGTCAAATCGCTGCACTCTTGTGCGCTCATTTGCCTCAGATGTATGACCAAAGCCAGGCCTTAGGATAAGATTGCAGCGTGATAACCCGTCTGTGCCGTGTTTGTGTTTTCTCTCCCCAGGACCAGGCCATTTCCGGAGGCTTTGAAATAATCAGGAAAAAAATGACCTAATTAGCAACGAGAGTTGAAGACAACCTGGTGCAGATTTGCTGCCGGTTACTTTCCAAATTCAACTGTAAGGAGGACACATGCATCGGCGCACACAGCAGTTCTCAGTGTTTACCAGCCCGGCCCTTCCCTTCCTGCCTTTCGCCCCGGTCCTCCATGGATTCCTACAGCCTTCATTTTGAGAGAATGAGAAACGTGGAGTTGCATCATCTGAGCCTGCCTGTCAGCCGGCTTTCCCCAGCCAAATCCCACAGCAGCATCGTCGACCAGCTAGCCCACCACCAGCACGGCAAAGGAGATTCCGCCTACAGCTCCTTCTCCGGCGGGTCAACAGCCCCGGACTACCCCTCTCCCTTCCTCCCAGACGACCTTCAGTCCAGCCCCTTCGGCCACTATGCTGATTTCAAGTATGTGAAGTCCATTTACAGCCCAAACCCGGTACTGCAGTCTGACTCAAAGACCATGGACCAGCTCTTCCGCTCTGTGGAGGCCATTTCACAGCAGTACAACAGCAGCGCCGTGGTGAGCCACCACAACGGCAGTGAGGCCTTCCACACCCACAGCAGAGCTCTCAAACAGGAGAGGCATTCGGGCACTCCCTCCCAGAGCGCTCACCCTTCTGTCCATCCTCCCCCAGTCCCAACACGCCTCGACAGTTTTATAGCCACTAAAAACTTGGAGAACAGCAGGGTCCACCACCACCACGGTACTGAATTCCAAACCCAGCAGCCCCAGCCTCAACAGCAGGCCAGACCCCACAGTCGGCAGCCCTCGGGCAGCCCGAGTCCCTCCAAACCCGACCCGGGAAGCCCGAGCCCCACCTCTGAGCCGGTGTACTCGGTGTGGAGGGGCTCCCAGCAGCAGCTGGACCAGGCTCCCAACCCGCCGAGCTACAGAACCCACCTGCAGTGTCACGACCAGGCCAGGCTGACGCCCGAGTACGCGTCGGTCGTCGATAACAAAGCCGCGCCCGAACAGCCCAGGTCCGCCAACCCCCTCGGCCGATCGGCCGCCCGGGCCCGAAGCCAGTCGGAGCACCTCATGCTGAATCAGAACCACGGCGGCGGCGAGTGCAACGGGGAGCCTCACAACAAGGCCGGTGCCGGCGGCCATTATGAATGTCTGCGCAGAAGGACGCGCTCGACCCACAATCAGCGCAGCTCCGAGCCCCCCCGGGCCTCCAGCCCACGCTTCGTCAGCAGCATTCAGCACAAGGGCCAGTTCTACTTCGTCACAGGAGTGTGTGCGCTGTCCGAGTCCGGGGCTAGGACACACTCTGCGTCCGTGAGTGGAACTGAGGGTCGAAGCGAGGTCTCCCCCCTGTTAGAGACCCACCGGCAAAGAGAAAGGGAGAGATCCCACAGCACAATGGAGAATTTGTTCAGACCTCTTACCGAGAGTTCTCGATTTTCCGGTAATGTCACTCCAGACGACAGAGGGGCTTTGGCCTACGTGTCCCAAAGAAAGGACAAGAACCCGGACCAGGAAAATCACAGACCGCCCCTCATCGTGATCCAGTCCGCCGAAAGCCTGGAGTCCCTGGAAGAAATCGACATGACGCAGAGTCGAGAGATCGGCCGCCACACTGCTGCTAATCCCATTTTCTACTGCGGACCCGACAGAACCTGCCCGCCACAGTCAGCCCCTCACAAAAAGGGGGCCGCGTCGCCGGTCGGCGGCGACCAGCTCAAACACAACAAGAGGGAGGATCCGGCCGGCCGGGAGAAGTGGCAGCCCCTGATGGACGTCGCCAACGAGAGAATAAACAAAGAAACAACCCCACTGCTGTATCACCTCACCGGAGCCAGCCGGATGGCGCTGCAGCCCAAGAAGGATCTGGGTTACAGTATAACGGGACAGGAAGCCCTCCTAAACAAACCCGCCCAAGGAGACGCCGTAGCGAACGACGAGAGACCTCCCCAATGCGACCCCAGCAAAAGCAGCAGAAGGGACGGGACTTCGTCGGCCTGCAACACTCTGGACGACTCCTTCAAAAAGTACTACAAAGAGAAGCTGAAGGATGTCCAGAGCAAGGTTCTGAGGGAGACCTCGTTCAAAAGGAGGGACCTGCAGCTGTCTCTGCCTCAGTGCATGCAGCAGAAAGCAGAGCCCGGGCCGGCGGCCGCTCACTCCTTCTCCTCCTCACAGGACTCCGAGACCTCCACAGACACCCTCACCCCTTCCCTGACCCCCGACGAGACCAAGAAGGGGAGCCCGAAAGAAGAAGTCAGGGCGAGCCGGAACGAGGCGGATAAAGAGACGGAGAAGGAAAACGGGCGGCCGACAAACGTGGCCCAGCCCCAGGTGGCCCGCATCGGGGGCCGGAAGAGGCTGACCCTGGAGCAGAGGAAGATGTGCTACTCCGAGCCGGAGAAGCTCCACCAGCTCAGCGGCGGCTTCCACCACGCCGCCTGCTCCTCGCTGGGCAGCGAGAGCGACGGACCGTTCGCCGGCGAGAGCGACGGAGAGGAGCTGGTGCAGCCGGGGGAGCGGGGGCTGGTGGCGGCGCGGAGGAAGATGTTCGAGAGGAGGGGCCGGGCCCAGTCGGCCTCCAGCGCCTCCAAGACCAACCTGAAGCACCTGCAGCACAAGGCCCTGGTGGAGTACATGGAGCGCAAGACGGGCCAGAAAGTGCCCGAACCCCAGCAGCCAGCACCTCAGCAGCCCCCCCCGCCCAGACAGAGGCACTCCCTGGGGGAGAGGCCCTTCGACTGGGGGCCGCGGCCTTCATCAGGAAGTCACGAAGGCAAAAATGGCAAGAGGAAGCTCCACAGACCCCACTCAGCAGGTCGCATCCTGGATTCCTCCAGCAGCTCTGTCAGGTAAAAAAAAAGAATACATTTTCAATAAAACCGTGTCTGTATTTGGTGAATAAATCAATCACTTTCCATTTTTATTTCGGCCACGATAGATACAATCAGTTCTTCTCAGCGAAGTCCTGCTCAGCCCAGTACGACGGCCATCAGAATTCATCCAGACTGAGGGAGAGTCGTGGTCCATCTCAGGGAAAGGCCGCTTCCGTGGAGAGTCTTTTGGACCAGCCAGAACCACCTACTTTCTTCAGGACCCGATCCACGTCCACGCCGCACGCATTTCAGGTACAAACGAAAGGCTCTCACCACGTCCCTCTATCTGGTTAACCTTCACAAGTATTCCGAAGAGGCTTTGTGCGGTGAAAATGTTCCTGCAATAGATGTTTCTGATTGGTTTTCCTTTGCTTCTTTTGGGGCCGCAGGCACATGACTATGAGGAGGATCCTCCTCCACCTAACGCCATGGAAACCTCAAGGTATGTACCAGTGCAGGAAAGTATTACGTCATCAAGGCGTTAGCCTAAACCCGGCCATCAATCCGAACCTGGACCAGAAACGGACTATAAATGTGAACCTGATGCATTGTGGCACTAGAAAGTCAAATTCCTCCAGCTAACTAACTTTTGTTTAAAAAATGGTTAATGCAGAGTCCACAGAAGAAGAATAGGTTAGTTTTTATTTAAACTTTGCAGTTTTTTTTTTAATGGAATTTCCAATTTTCTATCTTCTGTCTGTGAAGGTTATGCATGAGCTTACACAGGCTGCAGAGTTTGCTATCAACAAACTGTACTTACATTTTCTCTGATATAATGGTTTAAATTATTTATATGTCTGTTGCTTCACATATGAACTCTGACTTTCACTTTCAGCTCCCAGAAGAATGCATCTGATGAATCCTCTGAGGTTCCCCGGTACGTCCGTGTGGTCGCCCAGAGAGGGAAGTCGATGGAGGAGCTCGGAGCATCGAAGCTAACTAAAATATCAGCCTTGAGTAAAAGTTCCGAGCAGCTGGATCAGCTGTGGAGGAATTCACCCGGGCCCGTCGGACCACGGGCAGATGAGAGGAGCGCTCCAGACTTTGCCGACGTGAGGAAAGCCAAGCAGCAGGAGAGAGGGCAGAGCAAGCAAACGGGAAAAGAACCAGAGACTGTGATTCCGAAGACCGCTCAGGGACAGACTCAAAACCAAACCCCGAGGAAAACCCTCAAGAAGCAGCGCTCCGAGCCAGGGGCGGACGCGGCCAGAGAGCGGAGCTCCGCCAGATCCAACTCCCTCCCCTCCAGCTCCTCTTCCGGTGCCGGCGCTCACTCGGCCTCTCCCGGATCCCACGGCCCCTCCACAGATGAGATCAGGACCAGAAGAGCACTCAGCGAAGGGGCTTCCATCCCACCTTCCCCCAAAGGTCAAGAGATCAGCGAGATGGAGATCAAATTCACCCAGTCCACACCCATCCACACAAAGCCGCCTTGTGAGGACACAGTCTGCACCAGGTAACTTTTACCCAGACTCTCTTTTTGAGACTGAATTCTTTTGAAAAGAGCATCTTTTTGTGGCAGCTGACAAAGACTAATTTTTTTTTTTTTTTTTTTTTTTTCCCCGCTCTGCAGAGTTGGGACCTCTCCCCCCGTGACCGGATCAGAGGGGGAGCAGACGGAGGCCGAACCTCGTTGTGACGCCCCGCCCCCCGACCCCAGCCACGAAGTGCCCCTGAGCTGCGGCGTGACCACCGATCCCTCGCTGTGGAGCCTCCCCCCACAACAGGAGACCAATGAGGAGCTCAAGTCTCCGCCGCTTACAGACGCTTTCGACGAGCCCGCCGCCTTAGCCCCTCCGAAACAGAGGAGCGAGCCCCCCGCCTCTCCCCGGACATCCGTCTCCGACGCGGACGCCAGCCGGCAGGCCCAAGAGCCAACGGCCCCGGAAACCGAAACCGATGAGGGAGGAACGGAGGAGTCGGAGGGCAGGGCAACACCGGGGGGAGAGACGGGAAGTCCCGACCAGCCCGCCAGGAAACCGCAGTGGGAGGAGCTCGTAGAGGCAGTGGTCAAAGCCGACCACTCCCTGGCCAGGGTCCTGTATCCGCTGGCCAATCGCAGGACGGCGCTGATGCTGATGGAGCAGCTGCTGTCGGAGGACACCCTGCTGATGGAGGAGCACTACAAGAAAAAACAGGAGCAGCACGGAGCTGCAGAGAGGTAAACGTGACTCTGAAATGTCCAACAGAGTTTCCACTTTAGCAGAACATGAAGAACAAATGCAATTCCAAAGAAAACTCGGTATTAAATTGCCAGATGTAGAACAATGACTCATTTCCACTCCTTAATGTTCGGAGCGCATTAAGCTCTCCAAGGATAAGCACAGAGGGGAGAGTTAATAAAGTTTGCCAGTTAAATTGGTTTCCATGAAACCTGACACTGGCTTGGAGCTGAGCTCCACCTGGGCCCACGTTTTGTTGCATCACATGCACAGGCTCGCCGGGTTATTTGCTTACAGCTGCACACACAGTCAGACGTCTGGCCCAGCCACCCTCACTTTCAACGTTTATTTTCCCAAATATCAATAACCCCCTTGTTCAGCCCCGTCCCAAAGCACCGATTTCTGCCCCGCTAACAGCACAGCTGGAGACGGTTAATGTCTCTGGTGGTGACTGTAAAGATGGCATGGCTCAACAAAGCCGTCCTGACATAAACGCACTTGTTCTCGTAGCACTGAAACGGCGGAAGGAGCCGAGCCATCCTCTTGTCCTCCCGCTGCTCCCGACGGCCAGAAGCCTCAGAGCGCAGACCCGCAAAGCAAAGCTGACTTCGCTGAAAAGAAGGTAACGAAGCGTCCGTGGCCTCGGCCCGGGGGCCCGTAGATAACGTGTGAATGTGGTGACGGATATCACAGCGGGGAGGAAGATAGAGACTCAAAGAGCTAACGTTACTGTTTACTGTGTGCTTTTGGTACGGCTCATTCAGAAGCTTTGTTTTGTACATCATCATTTGTCCATTGAGTCACTATTTGATTCTTGAGGAGCGTAAAACCTGGTTGTGATCTTTGCAGATGATGAAATTTCAGCGTGTTCACCACAGGTGAAACTGGTTTGCAGCAACTGTTTTTAACACCTATAACCTTTATCTATAATACAGATGGTGTAAATATCTAAAATCAGCTCTGTTTGGTTTTCCACTTGTAAAGAAAAGAAAACTAACAAACAATTTCCCTCGCACAGTTTAGATTCTCCTTTCAGAGTACAAAGGACTGATTTAATCCCGATACGATCGGGTTGTAGTTTGGCCCTGAGCGGAATCGTTTGGAGCCGAGATAGTTCTGTCTCTTATCACGCGATGTCCTGTCTGCCTCTTATCAGTTTCTCTCACTGGTCTGATGTTTGCCTCGGCGAGCAATCGCCTCCTTCCTCCCGGCTGCCCTCTCCCATTCCAAACGATTGCTGAGCATCTCGTGCCCGCGCTCTCTGCCCGCAGCACCTGTTGGCGTCCCTCATCCAGGAGCGGCTGCGCTCCCTGGAGGAGCGGCGCGGCGACCTGCAGGCGGAGGTGCAGGAGAACGCGGCGAGCGGCGAGCGGCTGGCGGCGCTGGTCCGCCAGCGCTGCCAGCCCGTGGAGGCCGAGCGCTACGGCCTGTTCATCGGAGACCTGGAGAGGGTGGTCAGCCTGCTGCTGTGCCTGTCGGCCCGCCTGGCCCGGGTCCAGAACGCCCTGAGCACCGTGGACCAGCACACGGACGCCGAGGAGAAGGTGGGAAGCTGGAACCTCTGCATATGAATTGTCTTTTCTTTTTTTTTAACTATACACTGGCTCATGAAGTTCGAGTTCAGCATTTTCCTTTCAAAAGCGCTTTTGTCTTCCACATGGTTTTTAATTAAAACTTTTTTTTTTTAAGTTCTGGATGAGCAGCTTTCCTGTTTGGAAGTTGTCACTGATGGGCAGCCCCTTTACTTAAACCGAATTAGAAGATGGATTTTTGACCCATCGTGGGGGTTAAAGATCAACTGCTTCAGTTAAATGCCTGATAAGAATCTCCTCATGCCCTCTAACTAACGCACCACCGTGTGCTCAGCATATCACCATCCCTTTCACAGCCCCCCCTCCTCCTCCTCCGACCGGTCCTATTTACATATACACACCAATGCATGCGAGCAAAAGCGCACTGTCAGCGAGGGAACGATGCGTCACCCTCTGAGCTTTTTGTCTAAAAGCAGATGGGGTGATGGTTGGACTCCCATGCCACTAGGGGAAAAATTCAATGGGAACACTTTCCTGCTGCTGCTGTGCTTTAGTAATCATATAATGTTAATTATTGACTAATTCCAGTTTGATAACGTTAAACTACCAGGGGATTGTTTATCCTTTGAGGCGTATTAACTCCTATTTGCACCCTGATGAGTTTGCTCGCCGAGTGAAATGTCCCCCAACATATTTATGACCCGCTCTGCCTAAACGATGAGGTCCGGCCACAAAGGCCAGCAGAGGCTGTGTAACCCTCTTTGTTCTCCATCCGCGTGCCTCCCAGTATTCCCAGCATCGGTTTATGTTTGCATCGATGCATTACATTTCTAGATTTATCCCTGAAAGAGCTCTTTGTTAGCGCGACGGCCGAGCAGCGCAGCTTACACGGGGCCTGTTAGGAGCTCATTTGTTTTCCTGCTGTTATCAGCAACACTGGTATTTACACTGACTCACCGAAACTCCGGCCCGGTTTCGATGACAGTTGTACTTACCCTGCCCTCTGTTGACTCAGGAACACACTGCACCCACTGTCCTTCTGGCTCTTTAAGAAATGATTATACAGTACTGGGAGCTCTCTGTATCACTAAGTGTCATATCAGCTTTCAATTAAAACAAAGCTTCATATTACAGTAGAGACACCTTCGAATCACTTTTGATTAAATCATCCTGTTTTCTTTTTGTTTCGTTTCCTCACAGGAATCTCTGGACAGCCGCCACCGTCTGCTATGCAAACAGAGGGAGGACGCCAAAGACCTGAAGGACAACCTGGACCGCCGGGAGAACCTGGTGGCCTCCTTCCTGTCGAGGCAGCTGTCCCCGGAGCACCTGCAGGACTACCGGCGCTTCGTGCAGACCAAGGCCTCGCTGCTCATCCGGCTGAAGGACCTGGAGGAGAAGCAGAAGCTGGGAGAGGAGCAGCTGGAGGCGCTCTCCAACAGCCCGTGAGACCAGGAGGAGGAGGAGGAACGGAAGCCTCGGATGTTTGTTTTTTTCTCTCTCAGATGGAGGATGTCTAGTTTTAAGAGTTCGCTTCTTTTTTTTTTCCCCGACACTTTTTATCAGCTCAGTTAGCCTGAAAGAATCGGGCCCTTTTGCACCCAATCATGACTTTTAGCCTTTTAAAGAAGAATGAAGCAAAAAGAGCTACAGAATGTCCCTACGACGTTCCTCTGCCCCCCTTTGTGAGTACAGTCGGGGCAGGAGGTGATCGGGACTGACCGAAAACGTGTTCCGCCCAGCAACCGAAACAGACACGAACGCTCCCCGTGCCTTGGTGTCCCCCTGGCTGCTGAACGCTTAAAGTTAGAGCTGCTGTGCAGAAAACGTCTAGCAATTCAGAGCATGTCCTTCACTTTTCACTACAGAGTAGTCCTTCCTTCAGCCCTGCCCCTGTGGAAACCTACTATAAGCTTTAAGATTGTATCTGAGCAGCGAGGGGGGGGCTTCCGGAGCCTAACAGCGGGTGGAGTACTGCAAGTAAAATGTACAATAGATGTAGATATTTTTTTGTTGTTGTTTGTTTTCTAATAGTCTTATTTTTAAAATGTATTTCAAATCGAGGCACTAAAACCAAAAAAAAAAGGTGAATGGAAAAAAAAAGCACTTTGTGAAGATACATAACTGCACATTTCTTCGAATCAGATTTCAAATCATTTCGAGTCAGAGCCTTAATCCATCCATTTAAGGAGCGTTCCGTTTTCCGGTTTGTTGCTTTCCTCGTCCATCTGAAATAGGAAGTCTGTCTTTTACAGCTGGAGCTTTTCCTGAAGCTCTTTCACGCAGATTATTAGTGAGGAAAAACGACATGGGAGTATTCCCTCCCCTCCGGTCCTTTTGCTGCATGAGTGACATGTAATACTTGAAATGTTTTTTTCTTGTTTGTTTTTTTTTTCCTACCTGATTGGAGGAAAGCCCACAGTCTTCACTGAAGGTGTCTTAAACTAAATTTCAGTCTTCTACCTCCACAGCTTAGGCCCTTTAGACGCATGAAAAGTTGAGGTTTCTTTAAATTTACACAGCTTGTGGGGTTTTTCGGGTTTTTTGTTTTTTATCCAAACAAAGAAGCGCTCTTCTTGAAAATACACACTTGAATTAAACACCACCGCCCCCTCCGCTTTTTTGTATCTTAACAATATTTGTGATTAGAGGTTGTATCTTAGGTCCACTCATTTCCTGTGTAAGACCTGTTGAGGTCTGAATGCTGCACGTGATGTTTACCTAACAATGAGCACAAAGAGCATCCTCTGCAGACGGTTTTTCGGCAGAAGTTAGAATCCCTTTTTTCCGTTTCAGATTTTTTTTCACTCTTTTTTTTTTTTCTTTTTTTTTTAAAATTCCTTTTTGTCCACCAGCCCGAAAAAACACAACATTTCTCTGGAGGTTTTTAACCCCATCCGTCTCAGTTTGCTAAACAAACGTCTGCTTGTTTTGGCCCCCGTGCTGACACAGGGCCCCAGGGGGGGGGCTGGAAAAGACTTAAGGCCGTTTCCCCCAGCTCGCTGGAATTCCGGAGGTATGCGAGAGACCCAGGCTGTGGACAAAAAGAGGACGCTGGGGGGGGTGAGAGGAGAGAGGAGAAAGCCTCCCCTCCCTCGGCGGGGCGTAAATAAATGCCAGTGCTCCTTTTCCTCCTCGTAATCAAAGCAGTGTTTTCCTGCTGTCACAGGAGGAATTCTCTCATCCCGGGGACACCGACACGACCCGAACGCAAAGCCCATCAGGAGAAAAAAGGGCTTTTCAGCCCATGGGTCCACGATAACCACGGTATTTCACACCCACTTTCTCTGGAGAGTTGCTGTTTTGTGCCTGTGTGGGCTTTTAAATTCCATGTCGTTTTTTGTGATATTGTGAATAAATTAAGCTCTCACTATGCGTCTGCTGGACCCTCTTTCTTCTCCTAGTCCCCCCCCCCCTTCCCTGTGAACTTATTCGAACTCAAAATGACCACACCTGCTCAGCATCTAACAGCTGGAAAAGTGACTCCTCTTGAACATGAAGAAACAACGGCCCAGTAAGACATGAGAACACCACAGAGAACCTCAGACGGCTCCTCTGGGTGAGTGGCAGTTCCTGCAACACCGTTGGGGCCACGGGGGTTCCATTCTTTGCCCATTACCTCACAAAACGTAAGCCTGGTAGTCTGGCTCCCTCTGTGGACCATGCTTTCCAGGGACTAGTCCGCCCCGGAATGGCTCACCTCTGCCCTCTGCAGGCAGGTCAGAAAACATTCCTGCTGTTGACCTGGAGAGAAAAGCAGCGGGCAGCTGGCTTTGTCCCTATGCCTGTTCATTCCTCCTCCCAGCAGAAGATAGATTCATTCTAAAGATATTGAATGACAGAATCAAGTCACAAGCAAGTTTAGACCTTGTTTGCCACAATAGCAGGAATGCTGTTGGAGCCGGTACAGTGGCTTCAGTTTTCCGATGCCCCGATTTCTTAGACGGAATTCGTTTTGATCTCCCTGAGCTCATAAAAAATCACCAGTGATTCCCAAACCCCGACGACGAAAGAAATCTCCAATTTTATCGGGAGCCGGCAGATTGAACGCGTTCCCTTTTTTAACATCATTTGTTAAACGGAACAAAAGCGGAGTGCTCCCGTCATAACAAGGCCTTGTGGCGGCTCCTCACATAGAGAGCGCAGCATGCCTGAACCTTTGTCCTCCACGTGCCCCGCCTGCACGAGGAGACACGCCCTTAACAGCTCCTGTTTCATCTCCTTTTCTTTTAACCTCTGGTCATTTGCTGACATCCATAGGAGGGGCACACATATAGAAACAAAAAGACAAACAAACACGCACACTCGCACTCACTCCTGAGGGCCATTTGGAATGTCCAATCAACCTAACGTGCAGGTTTTTGGACGGTGGGAGAAAGCCGGAGAACCCGGACAGAACCCACACAGACACAGGGAGAACATGCAAACTCCACTCAGAATGGTCCTGGTTCCCCCCAGGACTTGAACCCAGAACCCTGTTGATGTCCTGGTTCCCCCGGGGACTGAAACCCAGAATCCTCTATCTGTGAGGCGCTGGTGCTAACCACCACACCACCAAAAACGGTCATTAAAAGCCAGCGGTAGTCATAAAAATGTGTTTTTAAAACACACAAACATTGCTCTCCTGTAAGGAAAAAAAGCACAGGAAACCCCAGACTGCACTTCCTTTTACCTCT